GTGGCACAGGACTAATTAGTCCATCAGCCAAAAATGATTCAGGGCTGTCTGTTTTGGGAGGGCCAGGGGGAGATTTATGAAGAGGATGAATGTTTTCTTCCTGGCAGCAGCTCCTCAGCCAGCGACAAGCCCGGTGCTGGATGTGCTGCCTCCTGCACCTCCAATTACCTGGGAGCTCCTGGCTCCCAAGGAACCACGTCTGTCAGGCCTTGTGTAACCAGCCCATGACGTGGGCCCTGGCTCTGAGCTGCAAACACAAAGCCTGGCTGCCCCCAGGTGCAGTGCTGGGAACAAAGCAGAGGAGCAGCCTGGGTGAGCCATTTCCTGCAGAAAGAACGAGTGGATGCTGAACGCCCCTGCCTCGCTGAGGAGCGTGGAGTGAAGAGTGGAGGGAAAAGTGCTAGCAGTGGAATGACAGGCTGTGTGCTCATCGTGCCTGTGGTGAGACTGAGATTGCCCCACGTGCTGGTCCTGTTGGGTGAGGGGTCACTGAAAATGCAAGAGAAGCACTGTGGTGCCATGGTGCTTCATCAGCAAACCTGACCCTCCTCCTGCCTGCACCAGCCTGTCTGTGCAGAAACACTTCCACCAGACAGTGCAGGGCAACCTTGGCAGGGACTGGCTGGTTTGGGGCTGCCCTTCAGCTTCTGGAGGGTTTGGAGTGAGGAGCAGGGCTTTGCATGGATGGAATCTCATGCCTATGGGTGTTTACCATTGCAGAGTAAGGCACAGACCTGTTCTATATGTAGGTTTAGTAACTGAAGCCTCTAATTTCCTCTGGTTGGCTTTGTTTACTCAGCAGAAGACCTAAAAGCAGCTTTCCTGCTGCTGCAGGGATCTCAGAGACTGGTGATGCCACAGGCAGAGTGCAAGCAGGGAATGCTGAGGCTCATGCACAAAGCTGTCTTGAATAATTTCTCCTCTTGTCCAGAAGAGACAGGGCTGTGCTCCCTCTCTCTGCACGTATTATGCACTCCAGTGGCAGGAGCTCAGCTGCCCCTTTGCCATCTCCAACCTCCTCCACAGAGTGCGCAGCTCCCAGGATGGCTGCAGCAGGTTTGGAGATGTTTCTGTGGTTTTAGGAGGAGTCTGTGCAGGAGAGGTTGCTTTTTCTTTTGTCTCTACGAGTGTGTCGTTACTTCAGTGGCTGGTTTGTGGATACCAGGCTTTAAAATAGAGCTGTAGACAAATTGGCAAAAGGCCAGAGGAGAGCAACACTAATTGTCAGAGCTTTAGAAAACATGACCTCTGAGGAGAGGTTGAAGAAATCAGGTGCATTTAATCTAGACAAGGCAGTAGGGGTGGGGGAGCGAGGGGGATGTCATGGTTTCTCAGAACATAAAAGCTGTTGTTAAGGAAGGATGATTGATTTATTCTTTCACTGTCAAAGAGGAGAGCGGGACAATGTGACAGGAGCACTCCCCTGAAGGCACGGGGTGGGGGGGATGATGAGACCAAACTACATTTAAACTGCAGAGAAGATTTGGTTTGGATATCTAGGAAAAGCCTTCAGTGCAGTGAAATGTGGGTAGGTATTGTTCAGGGAAGCTGTGAAGCTTCTGACACCCTGTTAATGCCTTTGTTCCTGTAGTTGAGACTAAAGGGTAATTTTCAGGCTGATCCCTGTCCCTCAGCAGCTGCAAACCTGGGCTCTGCCAGCAGGGCCAAGTCCACGTGGTCGGGAATGCAGGAACCAGGAGCCTGGAAGCTCTGGCTGCAGCTCATAAAAATGATGTGCCTTCAGTGGCCCAGAAATGGAGCTCTGTTCTCCTGCCCACTAGTTTGGAGTCTCTTTGGCTGTGTCTGAGTTGCAGTTGGAGATCTGAAGGCAGAGGAACCCAAGCTTGCTCTAGTGTTGACTTCCTTGGGTAGGAGTGAAGAGGGGACAGCTTGGACTTCAGCTCCGGGCAGCTACCTGAGTAATCACCCCCCTGTTTCACTGAATTTTGTGCTTTTGTCTTCAGTGAGCTCAGAACCAGGCTGAGTTCTGGGAAAGATGTCCCAGTCCAGGCTGCCATCACCTCTGGCTGGAGTGCAGGCACACACAGGCTTGGAAACACAGCCTTTCTTCTACACTTGTGCAGAGTTATTTCTGTTAGCAACGTGACTCCAGGTGCTGGGGTTTGATGCATTATAAAATAAAATGTGAAAGTAATAACTGGTTGCTGGGAAAATATTGCAGATTAGCACAACTTGTTCTCTACCTTGACTGTGTTTATATTTGACACGTATCACTTGCAGAAAAAGGACAGCTTTTATTATAACTCTTTTGTCTGCTTCCCTTCCAACTTCCTGAGTGCATTATTCTCAGGCATCAAACTACTTTCAGGACAAAATGTTGGTGAACTCTCCATTGGTGGTGAGAAACAGGGATGTGTGAGGGTGCCATTCACTGGTAAAAGCGGCAGAATTTCTCACACTCCCTCACTCGTGATCTTGCCTATGAATCCTTCCCAGGCAGAAGCTTTTTCTTTAAGGGGAGGAAGTCTAGTTCTTTGTAGCCATTGGCAAGGCACAGATAAAAGCATGGGCCTTTAATATCAGGTTTACTTCTTCTGCCCTGTCTCGGATCCACAAATGCAGAGTTCTGTCTCTTCTGGACAAATCTACCGATGACGTTATCGCATACTTGAAATACCCTACTTTTGTATCCCTCTTGCCTGAAGCTATTAACATTGGCAGAATTTATGTCCTTTGTTTATTTTTCTGTACTACTTAAAGTCTGAATGTTGGGCACCAGCTGGCCTGGTTTTCCATTGGGCTGCACTGAGAGTCAGGACATATTTGAGTGTTGGCTGTGTCCACGCTCCTGAATGCCTGTCCTGAGCAGACTGGGAGCCAGCAGGGCTGGAGAAGAGAAATGGCTTCCCTGGCATCAAGATGAAGTAGGTGCAGTAAAGGCAGGGCTTGCATTTCATTGTTTGTAGGACAGTCACACAGGAGCCCATGGGCTGCACACCCCAGGGCTCCCAGGTGGGCAGTGGAGCCTCCCAAATTCTCTGATAGATGGGATGTAGAGGAGTTGGCAGTGCCAAGAGGAGCCCTGCTGACTCTGCAGGGAGCTGATCCCTGCAGCCCAGAGCTGCTCCCGGAGCTGGGAGAGGGGAGCTCTGGAGCTCGTCCCTGGCTCTGAGTCACTGCATGACCCCGGGGCACTCAGATACCACGGTGATGAACACAGCACAACTGTCTGCATGGATAGAATGGGCTGCACAGGCTCTGGGTTTGACAGATATTTGTGTGTCCCCAGTGCTCCCCTGCTCTAACCACCCAGCCTGCTCTCAGGGGGGACAGAGCCCTGCTTGGTGCTGGGGAAGGAGGGATGCACAGCCACAGTGACACAAGCGCTGGTGGGGACGGGCTGGAGGCCAAGCAGGCAGTGGGGCACTCTTGGAGGGAGCAGCCCTCATGGCAGGAAGGCTCTGGAATGAGAATGTGGCTTCTGCCAGGCTCTGCTGCAGCCCTGTGCGTGGCCCTGACTCTCCTCCTGTAACTAATTAGCCTGCAAGATCCTCAGGGCAGCGCTGACTTCCTCCTCCTGCTATAGCTCCTATCACAAGGCCCTGATTTCAGGGGGAAAAAAGGACAAACTATCAAAGTGAGACTTCCTTAAAAGCTTTGCTGTGCCTGTGTCAGCCTCTGGCACAAAGCGGCTGCGGGAGGATCGTGTCTCCCTGGCGTGACTGTGGGTTATTTTCCCACCTGGCTCCCTTGTGAAGGATGAAGGCACAAGCACAGCTAAGATGTGTCTGGGATTGGGGCTGTGACGGGATCTTCAGAGGCTCCACGAGGTCTCCTGAGCAGCCCTGCCTCGGGCACCCTGTCAGGCAGCCCGGGGTGCTGGAGCCTGCACTGCCTCTTTAAGGAGATTTGCATAGCAGGGCCTAATTACAGTGGTTGATTCTGATGTTTTCAGTGTTGTTCATATTCCATTAAAGGATAATGCTGCTTAATTTGCAGCAGAGGGTCTCGGTGAACAGCACACCCAATCACAAGGCACCCCTAATGACACTGCTTCCCTACTTCTGGTAACACATAATTAAAAAATCACTCCGTTTCCAGTTGTGTGGTTCTCCCCTCTCCCCCAATCTCCTAATTACTTTCTAAGCCATTTCATGATTATCTGTAAATATTTCAGCACTTAGATCTACTAATGAGTGCATGGAAGAGTTAATACCTTGAGTGGCACAACTGCTTGCCTTTCCCTTTCTAGTGATGCATTGCAAGGGATCATTTTCCACCTTGCATGTGTGGGAAAGGGGCTTTTCTTGGGGTGGGATTGGGTTTGTGCTCTGTCTTTGGGGTGGTGGGCCTGAGCAGGGGAAGGGTAACATGCAAAACCCCATTTCCAGCTGCAGGAGGGTTTTTGCTGGGTTTGGGTTTGCTTGGTAGTGGGTGTCTCATTTTTAATTGTTTTACATGGCTTAAACCCCACAGCAAGGACTGTCCTGTTCTCTAATCCGAGCTCTGCCCTGAAATGCCACCTTACAAATGCTGCTTTTTCATTTAATGGATCTGTTTCCTGTACTTGTCTGGTGCCTTGGGTATTAAAACTCACTTGGGACTTTCAGACTGAGTACTCAGAGCCAGCAGAGTGATGGAGGAGAGAGCTGGAGCATGTTTCCTGCCCGTGGCTTGCATGGCCTTGGGTGCTGAGTTCTTTGTATGGTCAATCAGGACCACCTTGTGTGAGCCCACTAGGAGCCTGCTGATGGTCTCTGAAGGGATTATTTGGAATAACCAGAGACAATTGTGTTACTAGGGGGTAATTAACTTCAAGGAATTTTAAAAAATCAAGCTTAGGCTGCACTACTCCTTGGGGTGAGTCTGTAAGTCTGGGAGTGAGAGAAATCAAATCACTTGAGCACATTCAATTCCATGATACTCAGGGAATGTGGGGCTGCTTAGAATCAAATCCGTGCATTTCTAGGCAATTCTTATATTGCAGACAAAAGTGGAAGACTTGAATGTGGTCCTAACCCAGCCTATTTGTGTTTCAGGTAACCCTGTCACAGTGGGAATGAGCATCCACATCTCCAGCATTGACCAGATCTCTGAAGTCAACATGGTAAGTTTGGAAAGAAAGAGAAAGGGGAAAAAAGAAAGAAAGGGGGGGGGGGGGACACGGCTATAAACTGTTCTTCCATTTTCTGGCTGAGATTTACTTCCAAGGCAATGGTTTCTTGGAGGCATCTGGATCTCTGCTAGCTTCTCTGGAGCTTGTGCCATCTCATCTCACCCAGAGTAGATCCTTATCCCTTCTATGCTGGTGGCAGAGACACCTCCCCAAGTCACAAAAGCTTATGCCTTAAAAAACCAGTATGAATTGTATTTTTTTGGTTGATACAAAGGTGGCTTTATGGTCAGTCTGTCCCTACCAAGTTAAAAACATTAATTAATTTTCATTTTCTGGTGGTAATTCAACATTTCCTTGGAGATCTGGCTTCTAATGGAAATCTGGTTTTGGGTGGCATTGATAGATTTGAGCTTTTCATACCACTGTGAACAACAACAACAAAAAAATTATCTGCTCAGATAGCAATGGTTTGGGGTGAAATCTGTGAAATTTCTTGATTACTTTGTTCATGGTTTATGTTCACATCCAGGAGTGTCCCTCAGAAGCCCTCAGCACCCAGCAGAGCACATAGATTGTGTTGTAATTGCCAAAACTTGCCTTTCTCCCTCCTGTCCAGAGGCTTTTCCTCCAGACTCTGCTCCTTTCCAGAGGCTGAGTGGAGGGGAGGCTGGTGGGAGCCTCCTGGCAGCTCCTGTCCAGTTCCTGCCTTCCTGGCCTGTGCAGGAGCATCCTGGGCCAGTTTAGACTCTTGCAGTTCAGGTCGATTAAAGTCTTGCTCTGCCCCTGCTCCTGTCCCATTTCTCCGTCTCTGGCCTCTCCTGCCCTGTTTCCCTGGCCCACCAGCTCTTCTGAGGAGGGAGGTGACACAACCTGACCAGTTGGTTTTGTTCCCAAGCTGCCTGAAAAGCCTGAGCTCATGTTGGAATGACCCAGGGGGAAGAGCCAGCCATGAACCTTCGTGTTCCTGAGTGAAAGTTCCTTTTGCTGACTCTGCTACCATCCCACCCTCCCCTGAATTCTCTGCATGACCTGTGGCGCCTCACTCCAGTGACAGTGACACTGGGCACTGGGTGTGGCCCTAGATTTGGCTTCGGAGGCACTGGGTAGCTGTGCTTGAGTTTAGGCTCAGCTTAGCAGGGCCACATGGCTTAACCTAGTTCCATCTATCTTGCCTGTCAGGCCACAACTCAGCTTTGATCGTCTTCTCCCCCAGACTCAGCTTGGACCTGGGTGTTGTGGGGTGCTGGAGCAAATGTGACCCTCCTGCTAGAGCCAGGATGGACAGTTTGGGCTCTGGACTCGTGCCTTAAAACCAAGACTTGCACAAACAAAACTGGGAGGGGTTGGTTCTCAGCTGTAGCCACTGCCCCTGTGAGGCTGAGCGGCTCTGTCCCAGCACAGAAAGGACAGGGAAGCACAGGAGCATCCAGAGGAGGCACCAGGGTGATCAGAGGGATGGAGCAGCTCTGCTGGGAGGAAAGACTGGGAGAGCTGGGATTGCTCAGCCTGGAAAAAAACAGCTTAGGGGTGGCCTTCCAGTACCTGAAGGGAGCCCACAAGAAAGGTGGAGAGAAACTTTCTAGAAGGGCTGGAGTGACAGGACAAGGGGGAATGGATTCAGACTAAGGGAGTAGGTTCACATTGGATCTTAGGAAAAATTCTTCCCTGTGAGGGTGGGCAGGCCCAGGGTGCCCAGAGAAGCTGTGGCTCCCCCTGCATCCTTGGAAGTTTTCAAGGCCAGGTTGGATGGGGCTTTGAGCAGCCTGGGACAGTGGGAGGTGTCCCTGCCCATGGCAGAGGGTGGAACAAGATGATCTTTAAGGTCCTTTGCAATCCAACCATTCTGTGAAGGCAGCTGAGCCCTGCAGAAGCTGGTGCAGGATGAACCTCCTGCTGGGAGAGGTGCCCATGGGCCACAGGGGCTGATCAAGTGCTTTGTCCAGCAGGTGGGAGCAGCTGTGGCCAGGCACAGAGTAGCCATTGTCCCAGCAGCACTTTCCAACCCTTGCCATGTAAATGTGGTGCTCTCCCCTCTGCTGTGAGCCCCTGCTCCCCTCTGCCACACAACTGGGGGAGAAACAGTTATAATAATAACAGTAATAATCTCTGTGATGCACAGATTTCTTGGCATAGACCTTCCTCCACGTGCTACTGCAGAATGTGAGCAGCACGGTGATGGACACTGAGTGCTTTGAGGATGGTGGCATGGCTGTGGTCACCACTGTCCATGCCACACTCCTGTGGATGTGAAGGAATGTCACTTCTAGGCTTTTGATTATCCCTCCTGGCTCTCTGTTTGAAAAGAGAAATGTCCTGCTGATCTTTCCTATATAGATTGTGGCAGGGGGAGAGGGTATGGAAAGGTTTGGGGATGGGAGATGAGGTGGCTGTAGGTGAGAATTCATTCAGGATCAAGATCTCTGAGCACCATGGTGAGACAGCTTCATAAAGGGGTTAAAAATCAGAATCATCTTAAAGAACAAACATTTAGGGAGCAGAAGAGTTCTCATGTGATGTAAGTTTCCAGGCTGAAGGGGTTTTATGTGCATCATTCTTCTGTGTGACAGTTGCCCCGGGGAAAGGGCTGTGTTTTACCCCTGCTCTGGACATGGATACTGGCAAGAAAAACAAGGCAATTTTTTGGCATCATGTGTGCTTGGGAAAGGAACTGTGCAATGAATAAATTAAAGGCACACAAGTGAAGCTGGGTTGTCATGGTGACCAAATGGCTTCTATTGTTCCACAAGGAGTGTTATTACTTACTACCCCTTGTAGGATAATTAATTAATCCTCAGACATCCTTTTGGGAACAATGGCCTTGGTGCTGGGACTGGGCAGGCTGAGGAGAGCCCCTGGCTCTCCCAGGCCTTTCCCTGGGACTCCTGGCGCCTGCTGGCTGCCTGGTGGTGGGGAACAAGTGCTGTCAGTGACCAGACACTGCATGCTTCCAAAAGCTGCTTTCCACAGGAGTCCAGCTGGCTGTGGAGCTGTGGAGCAATCCAGCTCCATTCACGAGCACTCCTTGCCCTCACTCCCACGGGAGCCGTGTTCCCAAAATGAAGACGTGGTGACACTCCTGTCCTGGAGGACACAGGGTTCCCTGAGAAGGCAGCACAGTGATGTCCCTCTGCTGATGTTCCCAGACACTCTGACACACAGAACGCTCTGCAGCTGCCTGTAGATGCCATGTGTGTTCTGACACGCAAAGCTGATGCACCTCCAGCTCCCCAAGGGCCATTCCCAGATCCTGTGCCATGCCAGGCTGCAGGGTGTTCATAGGTACAGTGACAACCTTCTCCCAGTCATGAGAGACCAAAACTGCAGCCCTTATTTTAAAAAGTGTCCCCTCCTGGTTCATGGCAGCTGCTACCTGTGTGTGGTCAGCCACAGCTTCAAGCTCGCTTTCTAGAGTGCTGCTTTCTTGCTGTGTACCCCCCTCAGCATGGCTAAGCAAAGCTGAGCTGCAGCCTCTGTTCTTGTCAGTGATTAGAAGGATTATTTGCTGAGCCAAGATCAGTGACATCAATTGAAATGTCTGGGGAAGGATGCCAGGGGCCAGGCCAAATAGGTATTGGGGAGGGCACATGTGAGTGGCAGACCCTCTGGGAAGTGCTGATCCATGAAGATGAAAGGCCTCACTGGAGGCTTTTCATCTCCTGTACACATTTGCAAGTCAGGGATTTGAAGGCAGGCTGAGAGGAGGAATGTCTTCCTGCTGCTGTTGAGTAGCTCAGGTGAGCCATGAAGGACAGAGGGATGGTGTCTCCTGGAGAACTCACCCAGCCCATCTCCTTCGAGGTGACCTGGAACTGAATTGCAGTAAGCAGGGTGATGCCTGAGACTGCTACCTAGAGCAGAGGCCAGAGAGAGTTAAAATAAAAAAGTGGGTATTTATTAAAGGCCTTTAAGAGGCACACCTTGGGCAGTGCAGGAGCCTGGCAGAGGCTACACCCAAGATGCACAATGGTCAAGAGTTCTTTGGGCTGGTATAAGTTTGGTCTGTTTGCATATGAGAGGTTCATTCTCCAGTTACAGCTTCAGGTAATGAAGTCACATTGCCTCAGTTTGCTTCCCCCTAATTTACTTTTGTTTGTTCTTTTTGGGGCTGTGATGGTGAGCTTGGCTCTCAGGCCTGGAAGGATTATTCTGTCTGACCAAACTGAAGAGAGCTTGCTAACACTCTGTATGGAGTTCAGAGCTTCACACAATGCAGTACAGGATCTGAAAAATGGAAAAGCTAAAGCTTAAGGCATCAAGGGAACAGCCTGCAGGTGTTTATGGACTCTTGTTGGTGTGCAGTGGCTCTGGGGCAGTGACACTTTCAGGTCTCTTGGTGTGGTGCCAGGTTACTGAGGAGTCCAGCAGCATTTCTGAGCTGGGGAACGAGGAGCTCTGGCAGTATGGAGCTCATGTCACACTCAGCTGGAGCAGGCTGGGGGTGTCTGTCCTTGTGCTTCGTGGCCTGAATGCTGCCCAGAGTCACTCACCTCAAGGGTCTGGTTCTGGGGTGCAGTTCTGATGGTGTTCAGCATCAATGGCTTCAGAATGAGCTGCAAGTCTTCCCCCACTGCTGGATGTCCTTCCACCCAGCTGAGGACTGGCCTGCTCAGGGCGTGCTATATATTCTTGCATGGTGGGACTAGACAAGGACTAATCCTTCCAAAGCAGCCTTTTCACTCTCTAGGCAATCTCTGGGGACGTATTTTTCTAGCACCAGACAGTTCAGACTCTCTTGAAGTATTAATGAACTATTTCAATAAGGAAAACTACCAGAAGTTTTGTATGCATTTGAAATAAGAGGAGGTTACCCTTCATAAGGCTTCAATTTTCCTGCCCTATGATCTGTGCAGTCCTAAACCTGCTCCCTCCTGTGTCTGCACACCGTAGACAGCTCGGAGCATCCAGCCATTATAGTCATGATTTCTTTGTGCCTCCTATAATTTATTCATCCCAAGATGCTCTCCTACATCTGCAATAACATCATTTCAGTT